GCTGTTGGGGTGACGTCCCACCATCACAACATGGGCTACGAAGCAAGGATCAGCCAGCTGCAGCCTGTGGGCCAAGTTCCTTTTTTGTAAGTAAAGCTTTTCTGGGGCACGCGCTCATTTGTTTACATCTTGTCTATGGCTGTTTTCATGCCGTAGCAGTAGAGGCAGAGGCTAGGATATGAAAAACCTGAAGTATTTACTATCTGGACCTTGGCTGAAAAAGCTCACCTGCCCCTGGTCTAAAGCAAAAGACGAGAAATTCTCTCTCCCAGTTTTTTTTTTTTTTTTTTTTTTTTAATTTATTTGGCTGCGCCGGGTCTTTGTTGCAGCACTTGGAATCTTAGTTGCCACGTGCGGGATATTTAGTTGCAGCATGAAGACTCTTTGTTGCAGCATGCGGGATCTAGTTCCCTGACCAGGGATCGAACCCGGGCCCCCTGCATTGGGAGTGTGGAGTCTTAACAGCTGGACAACCAGGGAAGTCCCTCTCCCAGTTTAGTATATAACATCCTAAAGGAGTTCACCTATTGGCCTGGCGTGAATCATATGGTGCCCCTGATCCAGGGTCGCTCTGGGTGGGGGGGAGATGGAGAGCTGACCAACCGCCTCGGGTGACATGTCCACCCCCTGCGGTGGCCCCTCTAGGATCCCATGAGCAGAGTGAAGCCAGAACAAAGACTTACGGGGAATGGGGGTCAGGGGACAGGGGGTGCCAGGCAGACAAACACCAGACTGTCCAGCAAAGGGACAATGACCTTTGTCTGGTGTCCATGTACAAGGGATTGCTCAGTGAGCTTCAAAAGCAGCCCTCCATTTTGGGGCACAGTGGACTGGGGATGGACTCCCAGCCGGGAAAGAAGGCTTACGAGCTGCTTTGGAGGCAGAGCCAGGAGTGTGCTGCTGTGTGGGCACCTGCCTGCTCTGGAACATCTGCCAGGGTGAGGGGTGCTTCCTGTGGACAGACGTGAGCTGTGTGGACAGATGTGAGTTGCATGGATGGGTCATCTTAGGTCCTGTCCAGTGGTCTCCATGGAAGGGCAGAGGGTCCCCTGCAGGCACCAGATAAACACCCACCCAGAAAAGTGATACTGCTGCCCAGGAGAGAGAATATCAGGGAACTGTTGGGGAGCCTGTGAATGTTCCCAGGGGAGAGGGGTCAGCTTACACTTTGCCAGACCAGAGGTGAGGCCATAGCCCTCCCCAGTGCCTCTCTGTTCTTCCTCTCTGGCAGCCGCCCCGGATGGGTGGAAGCAGGGCCGAGATAGCTGAGCAGCTTGCGGGAAGGAACGAGGGAGACTGCTAAGCATAGCCCCCTTTCCCCAGGGTTCATCCCAGGCCCTAAAGGGCCCAAGGTAAGATTTAAAGTTAAATCAGGTTCAAAGGTTTGACTCTGTAGACCTGGACACTCTAATTTCTGAACTGAGACATTGTTTGTGACTTGGTTACTGTATGTTGTACACGTTTCAGGGTCTGAGGCTAAGGCTAGCCTTAGTCTGGCTTGCAGTGTTGCAAAGACCAGAAACGCACCGTACCAGCCTATGTAGGAGGAGTTTATTGTAAAGATACTGTTATGGACTGAATGTTTGTGTCCCCAAAATTAATATGCTGAAATACTAACCCGCAATGTGATGTTTTTAGGAGGTGGAGCCTTTGGGAAATTATTAGGTCATGAGGGTGGAGCCCTCATGAATGGATTAGTGCCTATTTATAAGAGGCCGGAGAGCTACCTCTTTCCCCATGTGAGAACACAGAAAGACAGCCCTCTGTAACCAGGGATAGGGCAGTCACCCAGAACCAGACCATGCTGGCATCCTGACCTTGGACTTCCAGCCTCCAGAACTGTGAGAAATAAGCTTCTGTTGTTTGTAAGGCACCCAGTCTATGGTACTTCGTTATAGCAGCCCAAAGAGATTAAGACAGACACAGAGGAACCTCATGGATGCCTAAGGACACTGGGATTCCCTGGTCTGGGGAACCCAAGACACTCTAACCAACAGCTGGTCACAGAGCCCCTAGTTTTATTTTTTTTTTATTTTTTATTTTTTTTTAACATCTTTATTGGGGTATAATTGCTTTACAATGGTGTGTTAGTTTCTGCTTTATAACAGAGTGAATCAGTTATACGTATACATATGTTCCCATATCTCTTCCCTCTTTGTCTCCCTCCCTCCCACCCTCCCTATCCCACCCCTCCGGACAGCCACAAAAAACCGAGCCGGTTTCCCTGTGCCATGCGGCTGCTTCCCACTGGCTATCTACCTTACGTTTGTTAGTATATATATGTCCATGTCTCTCTCTCGCCCTATCACACCTCACCCTTCCCCCTCCCCATATCCTCAAGTCCATTCTCTAGTAGGTCTGTCTTTATTCCCATCTTACTCCTAGGTTCTTCATGACCTTTTTTTTTTTTTTCTTAGATTCCGTATATATGTGTCAGCATACGGTATTTGTCCTTCTCTTTCTGACTTACTTCACTCTGTATGACAGACTCTAGGTCTATCCACCTCATTACAAGAGCCCCTAGTTTTAGAAATAAAACTCTAAATGCACAATACCAGCTACCAATATGTGAGCACGTAAAGCAAGCCAGGCACTGTTCAAAGTACTCTCTGGGTATTAACTCATTTAATCCTTCCAGAAACTCACTGAAATACTGGGGTAGGTCCTATTATTATTATTCTCTTTTTACCTCCGAAGAAATTGAGGCACAGGAAGATTTCTAGTATCCAGACTAATGGGCAAGACTCACAGGTAGCGACTTAGGCAAGTGCTAAGAAAAACTACAGGGTGAACTGGGGCCTGATCCAGCCCAGTCAGGTAGGCAAGGCTGCCCTGAAGGGACAATCCTGAAACAGACTGGGGCTGAGCACACAAAGTGAAGGTGGTCAGGGAGGGGCATCCAACGTGAAGGGCTTGGCAAGTGCAAAGGCCCTGAGGCAGGAGGGAGCAGGAATAGTAGAGGCCAATGAGCAAAGAGGCCAGTGAGACTGGAGTCAGAGACTGAGAAGAGAGTAGGGACAGGACTAGAGGGCTGAGCAGACCCCTGCTGGGTCTGAGCATGAGAGAATATACTGTGCAAATGCAGACACAGTGGGAATGAAGGACGTTGTTATACATACACTGGGACAAGGGCAAAAAATAGGGACTGTCCCAGACAAATTCAGACGTTTGATCATCCTACTTAAAAGCTAAGATGAAGAATTTGGTTTTAACTGTAAAATGGCCACGTGGGCTGCTCGGCCTTTTTTTTTTTTTTTTTTTTTTTTTTAATTTAGGTATCATACACATAAAGTGCATACATATTTAGAGTACGGTTTGATTAATTATGTACAGACCCATATACCAAGATGGGTCTGGTCAAGATACAGAATGTCCCTAGCCCCTCAGTTCATAATCCCCCCAAAGTATCCTCCAGTTTGACCTCTAACACCAAAGATGTTTTTGCCTGCTTTTAAAAAACTAAGGTATAGTAGATACACAGTGATATGCACTACTCTGAAGTGTACAGCTTGAAGAATGTTCCTTTTATGTACTTCTGCATAACCATCACCCAGGTCAAATTATAGAACATTTCTAGAGGCCCAGAAGGCTCCCTCCTACCTTTTCCAGTCAATACCTCCCACAGAGGTAGATGCTATTGTGATTTTATCTCCATGAGCCAGTTTTGCCACAGGTTCCTTTAGTGTTGCATCTTCGAACCTCTATCTGTCCCCTCATCTGCTCCACCTGGCTGCCCTGCTCCTACTGAAGCTCCCCCCGCCTCCGCCTCCCTTTCCCAGGTTGGGGATCCCTAACCCTGCATCCTGGCTCCCCAGCCCTCGCCCACCCCCATGACCTCAGTGACCTCCCACGAGTTTTAGGCCGCCGCTCCTCTCCCGACGCCAAGGATTTGTTTGGGTGGAAGACATTCTCCGTCACCCTCCTTCCCCAGGCACACGAATAAACCCGTAATCTTGGTATAAGCAGGGACTCGCTAGGCAAACGCAGCCTGGAGACAAACAGCAGGCCCCTTCCTACCAAACTGACACCCCAAGGCATCTGTTTGCGGGGAGGGGAAGGTGGGCAGTAGAGTCTGAAGCGGCCGCTGCGGGTGCAACACGAATTCACGGGGCGCTGGGTAGACCGCGGGGGCGCCCCTCTCCAGCAGCCCCCACCCTGTACGGGCGGGCCTGTCTCCCGCCCGTCGTTAGAAGAAGCTCGCCTTTTCCGTAAGGCCGCTCCCAGCCCAGATGAGACCCGGTTTTAAAAGAGACGGCCGAGGCTGCCAGCGCTGCGTCTGCGGGACGGCCCTCGACGCTCACGTTAGCCCACCGGCCACGAAGCCCCCAGAGAGTCCAGGGCCCGAGGGTCTACTCCGAGACTCCGGGTCCCCTTCTGGAGGCAAGACGTGCGCGCGCGGGAGCGCAGGCCTCGCACACAGAGACCCGCTCCCCGACGCGCTCGCGCACGCCGCCCGGCCGCCCTCTGCGCACGCGCCCGCGCCACAATCTCGGCGGAGCACTGGCTATTCGCTCGCCCCGCCCCCGCCGGGCGACACTCCCCTTCGACCCCGCCCGCTCGACCTTCCCAGCATCCCGACCCCCCACCCTACGGCAAGCGGCGAGGTCCGATCCCTCCGGGAGCCGG